GTATAGCTCTTGCTAAGACTTCCAGCACGATATTGTATAGGAGTGGTGAAAATGGGCATCCCTGTCTGTTTCCTGTTGACATTGGGAAGGCTTTAAGATAGAATAAAAATTTTATATTTTCTCATATTTTGCTGCACAACACAAACTTGATTAAATGCATTAAGAAAATGTTATGTTTAAATTGGCACCAACATCAAAAGCCTTTTAGGAGCTAGCACAGTTTATTACATATAGTCCCAACCCAGCATGAAGGTGGTAAGCAGCTGATATCATAAGGTTTAGGTTATTTCAACTGCAGTTTTTGATTCAAACAAACACAACTCTTTTGACTTCTCTTTCTCCATTTTTGTTTATTTTTCCTCTTTTTAGAAGTTCACAGTGCTATAGAAGTGAAAAATGACTGATAAGAAACCACACTAAAATATATGGCTTTATATACATACAAAATTCAATGTTGTCTCCACCCCCAATTTGATGTATTCCTTATTACTGATCTACTATTACCCAGAATAATCTTCTGTACATATTAAATTGTTTTAAGTTCATCTAGAGCAGTGTTTGCAACACAGCTAAGTTAGATTTCAAACAATTTCTTTGTTTCACAACTTACCATACAACTTAAAATATTCTAAAACATCCGTTTTGTAGAGCACCAGAAGTTAAAAACGGATCTACCTAACCAAATGTTCCTTTTCCTTTATTAGTTACAGTTTATCGTTTATTTCAACATTAAGACCAAATTGGCAACGAAAACAACTTATGCCTTAACAAATCTTTTGCCTTAAATAAACAGTTTACCCACTTTGTCCTTAAATATCCTAATTGTTTTTGTTTTAGAGTCTATTTATGCTTCTTCGTAACACCTATACAATTACTGAACCGAAGTCCAACTTCTTATCTTTGAGAACTAGGCAAGCCGGATAGGATTCTCCAGGTTGACTTTAAAGTTTTCAAGAAACCTGGTAGCCAGTTCATCGTCTACTACTCGGCTGTCGCTCGACATTGTGACGGTGATGAGCTGGTGCTGCTGCAGTCTGGCGTTGCCCTCCTCATCCTGAGTGAGCTTCAGCACAGGCTGGAATCTGCCAACAGCCAAAATGCAGGCCTGCGGTGGGTTGATCACTGCAGTAAATTCACTGATGCCAAACATCCCCAAGTTGGAAATACTAAGGAAAAAAAAAATAGGGAGGAGGGGAGAAAAGCTTGAAAGTAGCCGGTAAGGGAATTAATCAATCTATCCTTATCCTGAAGCACATATTTCTATACTTCACAAAAAATTGGTACTGAACCTCAGTATCATATTATTAAAATACCAAAGAGCATATGCCATAAGATATAGAAATATTATTTCTATTGCCAAACATTTACTCAGCACTGAACTGAAGGTCTTAGCCAGTGAAATATGGCAAGAAGAAATATAACGTATAAGGCCTACAAAAAAGAAAACTATCACTATTAACAGAGGAACTAAACGTATACATGGATTCTGCAGGGTAATCTGTGAAATTAGTAAGTGAATTGAGCCAGATAACAGGTGTCCACATACAGACATGCAGTCCTGGTGTGGCACTGAGGGTTAATGCACTGGACTGAAAGGTCAGTTGGAACATAAAGTTGGTGGTTCAAGCTCTCCAGCCGTTCCTTGGAAACCCTAAATAGGGTTGCTGTGAGTTTGAACCGACTGGACGGCACTTCACAACAAAAACATCCAAGGATACATAGAAGGTAGCTATGTGCAGTAATGAGAAATGAAATGTAAAAAAAATACCATTTACTGTAATAAATACACACACATCAGTGAATAAACAAAACCTTATTACGATGTTTTATCTATAAATATTTTTCTCCAACAAATTTTTACATTCTGTTATAGTATTTAACTGAAAAAAATGTTTCAAGTAAGTAAATGAAACAAGCTGACAAGTATTTAAAAAAAAAGAAAATTCTTATACAAGTAGGGGCCAGTCCCTGGAGAAGGATGCCATCTTGGTAAGGTAGAGAGTCAGAGAAAAAGGGGAAGGCCTCTTAACAAGACAGAATGGCACCGTGGCTGCAATAATTAGCTCAAACATAGGAATGCCTGTGAGCATGGCAGAAGACAGGCCAGTGATCTGTTCTGAGGCAGACAGGGGGCCTATGAGTCAGAGCTGACTTGATAGTACCTAACAACATGTGTACATAAGATGTTACTGATAATCCAGGAAGTAAATTCTACCTAAAAGATCCTCCTTGATATTCTTCTGGTAACAATTTTCCATCTCTTGCTTTCTTTGAAAGAACCTGAGAAAAATACAAACAAAGCACGAATTACATTTTATTACTTAAGCCGCCATTGTATTTGCACAGGGTATATGCTCATCCCTGGCATGTTTGATCTGAACTTATAAGATATTTTATCTATAAATATTTTTCTCGACTGAATGCATCTAAAATCATAAACAATTTAGAGTGCAGATAATCCAAGTTGGAATTATCTAAGAATAAGGAAGACTGTAGACAAATTGATGCTTTTGAGTTATGGTGTTGGAGGAGAATATTGAAAGTGCCATGAGCTGCCAAAAGAAAAGACAGATTTGTGTTGGAAGAAGTGCAGCCAGAGTGCTTCTTGGAGGCCAAGATGGCCAAACTTCGTCTCTCATATTCTGGACATAATTGTCAGAGAGACCAGTCGCTAGAGAAGGGTATCATGTTTGGTAGGGTGAAGGGTCACAGAAAAAGAGGAAGACCACCCCCCATCTTCCCAGCAAGGTGAACTGGCAAAGTGGCAGCATCAATGGGCTCAAGCATGGCAACAATTGTAAGGTTGGCCCAGGATCAGGCAGTGTTTTGTTCTGTTGTGCATAGGGTCACTATGAGTCAGTACCAACTCGATGGCACCTAACAACAACAATTGTAAAGATATGAATAAAAACTACAAAAATCATTTCCCTTAACAAAACTTCAAGTCTAAAACTGAACTAAACTGTACATCATTATTATGCAAAAAGCTTTGGTGCTTTCTGTACGTACAAAACAATTTTCTGTTTTGTCAACTGTATTTTTTCTTGTATGATAAAGTATTAGAACATTTCAAACCATTCTTGCCAATATAGTAAGCTTAAAATAAATTAGCCAATGGGAACTAAAACAGTGTAGCCACCAGCCTACTACCAACATATCAGCTTTCATCTTTTAGTGTGTGCTTCTATCCTTATCAACATATATCCAATTTCAAACAGCTGTAGAGAGAAACAGAAGGTTGTTATTTCATTTCTGTGGTGTTACAGTTTTTGTAAATGATTTTTGGATAATACTGATTTTCACAACTTTACAAAGCTGAGAGAAAAGGCAGAAGACACTCTGAGAATGACAAAAAGAAAAGTAGTTAATTTTTCTTGTACTTGCAATCAGTCATACTTCTGTTAATCTATAATTTTCAATGCCTTAAAAACAAAGGAAAAAATGTTGAGACATAATATATAAAAAATTAATGAGGTGCTTTGTGAGAGTAAAGGTAGAGATAAATTAAGTACTGTCATTTGGTAGATGAAACAAACTGAAGTCTATCTAATATTCTGTACTATGTAGCCAATTACAATCCCAGGCCATAATCACTTAACTTAAAACCAGATCACTTAAATTTTTTGGTAAGTGATACAATTTGAGAAGCTGGATCATATGAAGAAAATCATGGCACCAGGTTGGAATAAGACTCATTAATAATCTGTGATAGGCAGATGACACAACCTTTCTTGTTGAGAAAGAAGAGGGCTTAAAATATTGTTGAAGATCAAAGACCATAGCCTTCAGTATGGATTGCCCCTCAATACAATAAAAGGCAAAATCCTCACTACTGGACCAATAAACAACATCCATATCTATGAAGGAAAGACTGAAGTTGTCAAAGACTTCATTTTGCTCAGATCAACCGTCAACACTCATGGAAACAGCAGTAAAAAAAAAAAAAATCAAATGAAATATTGCATTTGTCAAATCTGTTGCAATAGACCTATTTAAAGTGTTGAAGACCAAAGCTATCAGCTTGAGGACTAAGGTGAACCTGATTCAATCCATGATATTTTCAATAACCTCACATGCATGTGAAAGTTGGGCAGTGAATAAGGAAGACCGTAGAAGAATTGATGCAACTGAGTTATGTTGTTGGAGGAGAATATTGAAAGTACCATGGACTGCCAAAAGAACAAACGTTTATCTGTGCTGAAAGAAGTACAGCCAGAATGCTTCTTAGAAGCCAAGATGGCTAGACTTTGTCTCTTGTGTTTCCAATTATCAGGAGGGACGAGTTCCTGGAGAAGGCCATCAGCCTAGGTAAAGTGGAGGGTCAGTGAAAAAGAGGAACACCCGCAAGGAGATGACCTGGCTCTGTGGCAGCAGCCATGGGTTCAAGGTGAACAATGGTTGTGAGGTGGCCCAGGACCAGGCAGTGTTTCCTTCTGCTGTGTAGAAGTTCACTGTGAGTCGGTACTAACTTGATGGCACTTAACAACAACAACAACGATATTGACTATAGTTTGTTTTTTGTTTTTTTTTAAAGCTTTTTATTGTGAAATGAGTGAAGATTTACAGAGCAGATCATCAGTTTTAAATTAGACTTAATTTTTAAAAACTAAAACATTCTCTTAAAATCTCAAAAGTATAAAAATGATCACAATATACCAGTGTGACTTACTGACAAATGTAATAATTACAGATATATATGAGTGCAGTGGCTCAGTAGGATAAGCACTGGACTTTGAACCAGAAGGTTGCCGGTTTGAGCCCATCAGCAGCTGCAGGGGAGAACAATGAGGACTTCTGCTCTCGTAAAGATTTCTAGTTTTAGAAATCCTGGTCACTGTGGTCTGGAACCAATTTGATGGAACTTTACAACATACTAACTAACTATATATACATACGTTGTTGCTAAGGGCCATCGAGCTGGTTCTGATTCAGAGCGACCCTGTATAAGGTTTCTACAGAGTGGTCTGAACCTCTGACTTTTAGGTTAGCAGCCCAGTGCTGATCCTACAGCAACACACCAGGAGTCCATACATACATATACGTAAAGACAGACAGACAGACAGATAGCTAGACAGAAAGACAGACAGATAGATAGATGGATGGACAGATAGAGAGATACTTATGGAGTCCTGGTATGGCACTGTAGGATCAGCAGTGGACCTCAAAGTTGGTTTGAATCACAAGGTTGGCAGTTCAAACTCACCCAGCTGATCCTCAGAAACCCTATATTGCTAAGTAGGTTCCAACTCATAGTGACCCTGTATAGGGTTCCGAGGAGCAGCTGGTGGGTTTGAACTGCTGACCTTGTGGCCTGAAGTCCAGTGCTCATCCTACAGTGCCACACCAGGGTCGCAATGATTCAGAACAGACTCAGAGGCACTTAGCAACAACAATATATACTTTTAAAACTAAATGAAGCTATAAGCTGTGATTTGTCCTGGCATATGAGAAGTAGGGAGGACAAACTATAACAGGCACATTTGAACAGGCACATATCATGTGACCTTTGAAAGGTATTTCTGTAAAGGCAGAGGATCTCAACAAACTCTGATGGAACAAAATAGAAAAAAATTTCACTTTAAAGACTAGATTGCAAGCATGTACACTACAAAAACAGAAAGAAACCAAAACAAAAAAGCCCTTTAGACTCTAAATATACCAGCAGGATATTTCTGCCAATGAATTCAAATCTGAAGTCTAACAGACTAGAGTAAGTAGAGATTCTGGAAATTCTTAATTCTTACTAAGATTTTCTAGCAATGTGATCTTAAAATCAAAACACATGCTACCTGAAGTACCTCTCCGAACAGATATTAGCAAAAGATGAACAGCAAGTATTTCAAGAATATATCATGTGTCTTATTGAAAAAAAAAAAACTGTTATAATTAAGGAAGATTAAGAATAGCATGGTATCTAAAAATAAACAATAGGTTGTTCCTGTATAACTTTATTCAGGGAACACAAACTTGAACTTGGGTGGTGCATGCTGCCTTTAGCCCTGGGCACTGACATCGTTGGGATTACCGAAGATCAAGAAGTGAAAGTGCAGCTGCTCTTTACCTGGGGTTCCCAGAGAGGTTTCTAGGGACCCACAAATCACTTGAAAAATGCACAAACACTCACTGAACAACCACTAGATTCTAACACATTTTCTAGAAATGAATATGGTAATAAATACGAGTCAATAGCCCTATCATTATTCTGCATTATGGTAACCACTGGGAACACAGACAAGTCAACAAACAAGGTAATTTCAAAGACTGACAACTCCGATAGAGAAAGAACAAGAGGGCAATATGATAAAAGTGTTAAAGAGAGCTACTTTATCCAAGAAAGCCATAGAAAGTCTAAGAAAGTGGTGCTTTAAAGGAATGAAGAAAAAGCCAGCCAAGTGAAGGTCAGGGACAAGTGTGTACCAGATAGTAAGCTTTCACCAGATCCATGGCCCCAATCATTTCTGCAAGTTTAGAAGCAGCTTCTCAAAGATGATTCTACAACCAAGTTCTACAATATGATAATCTAGGTAAGAAAATTTCTTGTAAGAATAAAATGTTATTAACATTGAGGTCTACCCATTACAGAAATAGTTTCAGCTTTACTTAAACTTAAAATCCTATCTGAAATGGTACCTTAAGAGTAGAATTGCAGACTTTGTGAAATACTGTTGTTCCTAATTTATAATTTGAATGTAGCTGGCCCTTAATTTATCTGGGTATTATTTCTGAATTCTGAATTTTCTTAAAATGGGTTATATCCAAATAAAAACAAAAGAAAACACACACACACACACACACACACACAAACCCCCCTAAACACACCACTGGCAATCACTTGGAAATACTAAAACAATAATCACCATCACCAAACACAAAGAACCACAGTGACCAGATCATATCACACTTTAATTATCAGAAAGTATAACACTGTGAAAGCAGAGTATGTATTTCTGAAGATTTACCTTTACTGAGTCAGCGATTTCCTGTACCCCCTTAGCAGCAGCATTTTTTATGATTGGTGTAATTAGACCTTTATCTGTGGCCACAGCTACTGAAATGTCAATAGAGGGCAATTGCTTTGGCCCCTCTCCATCCCAGCTTGCATTAACATCTGGCATTTGCTAGAAAACAGAAATAAAAAAACATGTCACTAAAGAAGATAGATTTGTGTGTTCTTCTGGAAGCCCATAGTAATATTAAGTATTCTTCACCAACATCATAATTTAAAAAGTATCCATTCTTCTCTGATCTTTCTTATTCACTGGCCATGACACCGAGGTAGTACAGGAATATAATTTAGATATTATCATACATTTTATAATGTGAATATAGAAAGACAGTTCCCTTTGGAAAATATGCTCTGAATATCTGTATTAATTGTCTTGGAAGAATAATTAAACATATCTTTTTTGAAGCAAGCTTGAGAAAATGCTGATGATGTACATATTTTGATCTGTTTCTATCATGGCTAAAAAAGGAGATTTCTTTGTTAAATCTGAATGCCAGACACCAGATGATGTTTGCTATACTTCCTACCTCACATGATGGCTCACATGACCTTGAGGGAAGATGGGAAAGAAAAGAGGTGATATACAACCACATTATGTCTTTGGTATGAAGGAAACTTGAAACTTGATTGTCCAGTGCAGCCCTAGCATACATACTCTCTATTTAAAATAGAGAGATTGTCTAAGCTTCATACACATGACATATATTTTATATATTTAACATACATACAATTACACAGGATAAAAATCAGATGAAATGACTAAATAACAGTATGTATTGATAACATTGCTAAATACCATAGGAGAATGTGATCCTGAAAACAGAAATCAAAACATCAATTTGTATTCTAAAAATTCTGTTTCTTTTTCCAGAATAAGAGCCAAACCTTCCAGAATGTCATATAAACATGGCAATCTACAATTTGATTCTACCCTACCTATCCACCTATCTATCTAGTTTTCTAGTCACTCCTTTAAGGTGAATTGTTCACGTCCGTGGTGCTTCTCCCTGTCACAGGATGCTCATTTCCATAGTAACACTATCTTCAAATCACTAGTCAACTGGTCTTCCTACTTCATATTTCAAGCCTCAGCTCCTTGATTCACTGAACAATGCCATTATCCAGTGGTCTTTATGCACAAGGCACAATCATTCATTCCTTTAATAAATATGTAAGCACTGGGGACGCAGAAACAAAACAGTAAGAATTTCCTGCTTTCTTTCAGCTTATGTCTTAATTTAAATATTTTACTCTAGTATGTAACAATTCTGATAAGGTAATTTTCATTTATTTATATCTTGTCTACCCAGCAATATGATCCTATGAACTCTACCAGGGCATAATCCACATTCTGTATTTTTACAGTCCCCACAGAACCTATTCTCTATGTCAATTTGCAGAATTAACTTTAGAGATTGTATATGACATCATACCAAAAATAGTAACGAATGATAAGACTCAAACATATCTGTAATAATAAAACTAATTTCAATAAGCTTCCCTAACACAAACAGTGCATTAAAAATATTCATTATATACTAAAACAAAATTATTCACAAAATGTAAAGTTAAAGCACAGACAAAAAGAAATAGTAGGCTTTACAATACGAGTATCACAAGATGAATTAAAGGATATTTACATTACCCATTTGATTCAGAGTGACTATATAAGGAGTCCTGATGTGGTGCTGTGGGCTAATGCACTGGACTGCAAAGTTGGCTTGAACCACAAGGTCAGCGGCTCAAGTTTACAAGCCGCTCCTCAGAAACACTATACAGGGTGGTGGTGGGTCAGAATCCACTCCATGGCACTTAACAACAACAACTATAATGGTGTTAGGCTGCCTCAGGCATCCTAGTGTGGTGTTGAAGGAAAAGCACTGTTCTATGAGCTAGGTTTGAAACCACAAGGTGGGCAGTTCAAATCCACTGGTCACTTTTCAGAAACCCTATACAGACTCGCTATGAGTCTGAACTGACTCAAAGGAACTTAACAACAACAACAAGGCAGCTTCTAAGATATCTTCAAATGATCACACCTCCTAGTTTTCATGCCCTCCCGTTGACGTATTGCTGCACCATTTAAAAACTAACTTTCACAAAATTTTACTTGGGTGAGATAGTAATGATATTGTTTAATAATTTCTGCATTCTTTTGGGTCCCTTTCTTGGCCTGGGCACAAATACGGATCTCTTCCAATCAGCTCAGCAGGTAGCTGTTTTCCAAGATTCTTGGCATACACAAGTGAGCACCTCCAACATGGCATTGGTTTAATGAAACATTTCAATTAGTATTCTATCAATTCTCGGAGTCTTGTTTCTTGCCAATGCCTTCAGGGCAGCTTGGACTTCTTCCTTCATTCGATACCATTCGTTCCTGACCATATGCTACCTTCTGAAATAGTTGAATGCCAAATCTTTTTGGTACAGTGACTGTTTATTCCTTGCATCGTTTTTTAATGTTCCTTGTGTAGTTCAGTATTTTGTCCATGGATGCCTTTAATGTTACAACTTGAGGCTTGAATTTTTTTTTTTTTTTCCAGTCCTTTCAACTGGAGAGACGCTGAGAAATTCTTCCCTTTTGGTTTTCTAATTCCAGTTCTTTGCACATTTCATTATAGTACTTTATACTGTCTTCTCAAGCTGCCCTCTTTGGGATTTTCTGTTCAGCTCTTTTACTTAATCATTTCTTCTAGTCGCTTTAGTTTCTCTACATTGAAAACAAGTTTCAGAGTCTCTTCTGACATCCACTCTGGTCTTTTCTTTCCATCCTGTCTTTTTAATAATACCTTTGCTTTCTTCATGTGTGTGTGATGTTCTTGATGGCAATCCATAACTTCTCTCCAATGCATAGTGTTCAATTCATCAAATCTATATTTGAGATGGTCTTTAAGTTCAGGTGGGATATACTCAAGGTTATATTTTGATTTTGAGTGTGCTTTAATTTTCTTGTGCTTCAATCTGAACTTGTATATGAGCAACTGATGTTCTGTTCCATAGTTGGCCCCTTGGATTGAGGATATGGAGCTTGTCCATTGTCTCTTTCCACAGATACAGCTGATTGATTCCTTTGTATTCCATCTGGTGATGTCCACTTAAGTTGTTGCAAAATGGTATTTGCAATAAATAAGCTGCTGGTCTTGCAAAATTCTTTCATGTGAACTCCAGGGTTATTTCTAATACCAATGTCTTATTTTACAACTGGTGATCCTTCCTCTTTGTTTCTAACTTTAGCATTCCAATTATCAGTAATCAATGCATCTTGATAGCATCTTTTATCAACTTCAGACTGCAGAAGTTGGCAGAAATTGTTAATTTCTTCATCTTTGGTTTTAGTGGTAGTGTAAACAGTTTAGCACTCAACTGCTAAACAAAAGGTTGATGGTTCGTACCTACTCGGTGACTTCATGGAAACAAGATCTGTTCTAGTAAAGTTTACAGCCTAGAAAACCCTATGGGGCAGTTCTACTCTGGCACATGGGGTCACTATGAGTTTAAGATGATTCAATAGCACATGAAAACCATGAATATGTAATATTCTTGCACCAGATACTCAACTCCCTGTCCTCTTTCAAATACAACACTGCCAGAGACACCTTTTCCTGTCCAGCTTGGAAACAGTATCTCTAGTTATTTAGCTTCCTTACCCTGTTTTATCTTTCTTTATAATACTTTTCACCATCTGACATATTTGTTAGCTTTTCTTGCTATAAACCCTGTGAAAGCAGAAACTATGAAAGTTTTTATTCACTGCTACATATCGAATGCCCAGAATGTATTTATTTTAGCACAAGTTAGGGGTTCAATTACTGTTTGTTGAGTAATTGGTCTTTATTCTTATATAACTGTGAGTCTTTATGGTTATTTCTTCCTCTATAAAATGATTAAATGTTAGAATATTTTTAGCAATAAAATTCTAAAAATTTTGACTTAAAAATAGAATTCTATTTATTATAGATTCCTGTTGCACCACTGTAGGATAAGCACTGGACTGCTAGCCACAAGTTGGGGGTTCAAACCCACTAGCTGGTGCTCGGTAACCTTATACAGGTTCAATGAGTTGGAACTTAACAACAACAACAACAACAAATTTGTCACTATAGAAATCACAAAACATGCAATTAATTTAAAAGCCAAAATTACTTGGGGATTGCTTACTTTAAGGGTAACAGCTGCTGCCTTGATGATAAAATCATTCACTGATACTTTAATGTCATCTGAAAAAAGATAAGCACATTAAAATAATAATAAAACTTTAACCATGATCATTATGATTTCAAACTTGTTAATTACAGACTACACTAACAATAAGGAAAACCACTATGGGTTTTTTGTTGTCGACTTGTCTGCTAAGTAAATAAGGTTTCCTTGATTAGAAAACCTTGATATTATATGAGGTCCTGGATAAATAATACTAACCATGAATGCAAAATTTTACTCTAGAATTATAATTGTAAAAAAACTGCTCATGTATGACGCACAAGAATATGACTGATAGAGTACAACTATAACCAGAAAGAAACTATGAATGGTCTTTTTCTCTGTGGGGTGTGTAGCCAGGAAGTTTATAAGATGATTTATTTGTTTCCCTCATCCTTTAAAAATGTCCTCATTTTGTGTATACTTTCTAGTATAATGATTATATTAGAATAGTGGTATATGTTGACATTTTAAATAAGCAATTACATATTTATCATTTCTTTTTACTGATAGAGGTGTACAACCAAAAATTTTTAGACCACTGCATCTAATAAGAGTTGCTTTTTGGCTTAACAAAACAGGATATAGCAAATGCCAGAAATGAAGCAACACAAGCATAGGTCTTAGTTCACCGAATAAAATGAGGTTCTAAGTGTAATTTGATGGTGAACCCATTTGAATCAATTTCCTTTAAATATACACACTGATTTTAAGATAAAAGTGGAGCCTCTTGCCTTCTCACAGAGCTGATTATAACTAAAGCATCTGACTTACACCTTTGATCTTCCCAGTGTGCAAGGAAGGATTAAAAACACAACTACCCTTGGTGCTTTCTTGCAAGAGTTTCTAGAAAAAGAGCAAGCTACACTGGTATGTGCAGGATATACAAACCCTGTTACCACCACTATCATGGAATTTTACATGAACATCTCATTCCAAAGGAATGCTAGAGATCTCAGAAAGATTAACTGGATTACCATAAACCAAAACAATGCCAAACCGGCACAGTTAACTGCCAGCTCCAAGGTCTCCTGACATTAATTCAGTTTTGTAGAAATAAAGATTTCTGTTTGTTAAAAACCCCTTTAGAAGGAGAATACAACAGGTTTCAAAGGTTGAAAGTTTTATTGATAATCACATACAAAATATTCAAAAGCTGTACAAATTCAAATAGGATTCAAACATAGTATTTATGAGTTCATTATGCTTACCTCCCATGGCTACTTCAGTTCCCTTCTAGCTATATTTACTACCCATAGGTATTCACAGCAAGAGTTCCAAAACCACCTACCAAGGTGCGGACTCCTATGTTTACAGAATCCTTTTCTGGTCTCATCATACTCTAATATTTAGAAGCATTTCTGAGTTTACACTTTTTTCATCTTCAAACACTTTCTCTTGCTGGCTCCCAGGTCACTATACCCTCCTGGTCCCCGACCCTGCGACATCTGCTTACTCACTCACTCAGTCTCTTCCTCTCAATGCTGCCATCTCCCTAGGTGAGGACCTTTGTTTTGATACCATTTGAATGCTGTTAATGTCTTCAAATTCTCCCTCAAACCCTTCCCTATGAGGTGCTTTACACTCATAGATAGTCATTTTCACTCATAGTCAATTTCTCACATGACTTTCCCACACATATGTTTAATAGTCATCTCAAATCTGGTATATCTAAAGAAGACTTTTTTCAAGTTCTTTTATTATTAACTCTTTATCATGGAAAACTTCAAATATATAGAAAGGAGATCATTATTGAGAAGAACGGAGTAGGGAATAATTTTGGAGAATATCAAATATCCTTCATTGCACATTATGTTACAAAAGCAGAGTGTGGGCCACACTTTTTGTTGCTGTAGGGACTGCTGAGTCAGTTCTGACTCCCAGTGACCCTAAGTACAACCGAATGTAAGACACTTCTAGAATGTTACATGGTATACATTTACATAAGAAAGACTGATATAGGCAGGTAGGTAGGAAGGAAAGTAGGAATTGTGTTTTCTAATACTTCCTTAGGTAGGTAGGTGGCAATCTGTAGTCCAAAGACTCATCAGAAAACTCCTAATCGCAAAGACATACCTGGACCATGTAAAGACACTAAATTGCCACTGAAATAGTACTGTCTCCTGTCTCACGAGCGAAAACATCCTTGATGAAGGAATCAGAAAAACTATTCCCAATAATCTCTATATCATGACTGGTTTTGTTGTTGTTAAGTACTGCGACGTTAACAACAACATGACTAAGCAAGTATAATTCAAAAACTTTGAATGGAGTCTCCGGGGGTTAAATTTTTGAAAATTAAGCACATTCTCTGAAGCAGTTTTCTATTTCCTTTGCATATAAAAGCGATCAGGTTGTTTTAATACAAAATCTTCAAAGTTAGAATCTAAATTGAATTGAATAAGAGCCACAAAAGAAAACTGCCTTCATCCTAGCAATGAGAAAAAACAGGAGAAACTATCATAGTGTAACATTTTTTGATGTCTTAAGAGACATCAAACAAGTGAATTAAATTCTAAAGGGAGACAGTCCCTTCTGAGGAGAGACAAACACCGGAAGTGAAGGATGAATCACTGTCAGAATATGGAATACACAGGACATTCATCCACGCTTAAAGCTCTCAGCAAGTTAGGAGTGGGAATGTCCTCAACCTTAAAAAGGGCAGCTCCAAAACACCCACAGAGTGCATGAAGGACCGGACGCTTCCCCCACAGTCTCAACAAGGACAGCTGCGTCACCCTTACATTCATCATTGTACTGGAGGGTCTAGCTAATACATTAAGGCAAGATTAAAGGCACTTCAATTCTAAAGAAAGAAACAAAACCATGAGTTCACGCTAAAAATTCATAAACCTTCCAGCAACTTTATAGTTGAATTGATTTGGGGGAAGAATGTTACCTATTTATTTGATAGCACAAATTACAAACAACCTGAAGTCATTTTGAAGAAGTATAAAATGGAAATGTATAAAAAGAAGACTGCTTTCTAAGCTTACTAACCATCTAAAATATTTTGGTATCAATTTTGGATTTCACACTTGTTTTCAGCTGCTAAAATACTTAGGACTGCTCTGCTCAAATATCTTAACAAAAAGTATTTAGGAAGCCATTTAAATAAAAATACTGACAGTAACAAAACCAGTGATTGTGCTTGAGCCAGCCAGTAGTACTTCCTCACAAAAAAAGCAGCATGTATACAAGTAAAAGCAAACTTAGGGAGGGGACGGTAATCATTTACACGAAACAGAACGTACGTTTGGATGAAAGTAAAGCTGATGATCTTGTCTGTTCAAAAAAAAAGTAAAAGTAAACCAAGAATCATGATTTATATTTGTTTTAAAAAAGAAATGACAAATGCCCCAAATTCACAGTATCACTTGTAACGCTGAAAGTGTGGCAGAAAAGCAGGTACTCAGTAAGTGCTTGCTGGATGAATGGTCACCAAAAGCCCATCTTTCAACTATGACAACAGAGGGATTAAAAGTAGGGCAGAAGAGGAGCCCCGGTTTGGCATAAAAGTGATATAGCCACGATTTATGCAATACTATGGAGCCTGTCTCCTGCTTATAGGAAAACAGAACTAACCCCTTTCTCTAACTCCAAAATACTCACAGAGTAGAATACAAGTAGATTTTTGAAATGGAAATAAAATGCTCCACAATGTGAGTTTTATACAGAAAGTTTCCTATGATAGTTAAGGTAATATGTGCATTGCATGAAGTAAATTCAGCTTTACTAACCTTTGACCAGATCTTGCCTTACTTTTAAAACCGCTCCAACGTCACAGGCAGCAGTAGCATAAGCATGAGGTATAGTACTTTTAGATTCAGTTAACCTCTTGGCAATAACTCTTCGAATATTGCTAGCAGGGATTTCGGAGAATGTGCCCTGCAAAGAAACAGCATCTGTCCAGTAAATCAAAAGTGAGATATGAAAAACCCCAAAACTTCACAATTGGAATTCAATCTCAGTGACCTACCAACATTAATTAAAGACACTTACAGAAAAAAAGGCTATTAAATATTTCAAATATGAGAAGGTGTACACTTAAAAATGGGGAGTGTGGTGACTCCATTGGACTGCGAACCACAGTGTCAGTGATTTGTGCCCACCAGTTGTTCTGCGGGAGAATAATGAGGCATTCTGCTCCCACAAAGATTTACAGCTTTGGAAGCCCTCCCTATACAGAGTCATTAGGAGTTGGAAGTGACTTGAAGACACTTAACACTTAAAAATTAGGAAATCTGAGGAGTTGTGGTTTTCTGGTCTGACTGTAAAGAAAAGTAGTAAAGTCACGGTTTGGTATTGAATGGGGTATCTGTTGTTACCATGCTTAAAGTGATTTAAAAATCTACCAAATCATGAATTGTCCCATGCATATATCATCTACTTCTCACTTATCGGCAGCGTTAGGTTCCAAAGACAAGACTGCTAAGAAAAATTAACATGATCTGAAATTGGAAGATGACCATAGGAGAGACGGAGGCCTACATCATTACATAATGGCCAAACTGCATCACTAAAAAACTGCCAGTGTTACCTTTGCCACAGCATTTGTTATGACCAGATACTGTACAGTTTTTAAATCTCAAAAAATATGATCAGAATGTGTTTATTGCTCCATTAGAAACAGCAATGTAGGCTTATTTATTTATCTTTCTTTAACTTTTTAGCTTTTTTTTAAATTATATTTTTTAAAGAACTCATTCAGTTTCAAATAAAGCTGATTTTCCTACATTTCTTCTGATGAGAAGTAAGTGATGTGAAAGGCTCTGGGGGCCCAGCAGAGGTGACACACTGGAGTTATGAGCGGGCTGCTCCACTGCTGGTATGAGAGAAAGAAGGAATGACGAGCTCTTTAGTCCATGTACCTTTTACACGGAATCTTCTGTGGTTAAGTGAGGTTGAGTCAGTTCCGACTCACAGTGACCCTGTTCAGAGTTTCCCAGGATCAGCTGGTGAGTTTGAACCGCCGGCCTTGCAGCCTCAACTGACCTTGCCGTCCAGTGCTTTTCTCTATTTAAAAAATAACACAACACATTTCCACAAAAGGGAGTTTTCCATCAGCTACCAATGTATTAGTATGGTAGTCAAGAAAAAAGACATGAAAAGTACATCTGGTACTCAAGTTGCAAAATTTGTGAGAAATCAAAATTGAGGCACTGTCTACTGTTCTATTTGAAAGTAGTACTGTCCAACCAAATTCGGTATGAGTGAGAAAATTTGAAAATAACAACACTCAGTGCTTTTTTGCTTTAGCACTTCTAAATACTAACAAAGTGGACTGGTTTGAAAAGTACTTATAAAACACATTAATTGTCCAGTTTTTCCCTCTTTCGCTTATTTGCTCACATAAACCTGAAAATAAAAGTTTGCACTGGATGCCATTACCACTGCATTAGGTTGTCCAGGAATCGATACGGGTGGGCTCATTGGCCGGGAATAGGAAGGTTCTGCTGTGGCTGGTGTGGGCAGAGGCATTGTGGGAGTGGTTGTGGGGGCTGGAGGAGCGGCCGTTGGTCTGGATTCAGTGATCTTGCCCATCTGCTTCAGCTCTACCAGTTTGAGGGCATCCCTGGAAACAAAATGAAAGAGGTAACTCTGATTACCAACAAAAAGCAGCAGAGGGCTTGCAGAAAACACAGATGAGACAAGATGTGGAGGAAGACACAGAAATATACAGAAGTGACGGCTCTAACACAAAACCAATTATTTGTGCTGGAAAAGTATACCTTGTCTCTTACCTGGTGCTATCAAATGTGTTCCCAGAAATACACACTGTAAATCCTAATGCCTATACATGTACATACAATCCCATCTGGGATGGGGTTTTCTTTCTTATGTTAATGAGTCTAAATGGGTGTAGGGTACATCTTAAGCCAGTCACTTTTGAGATATCAAAACAGTAGCTTAGGCAGAAAGACAAGGACAAACTGGGGAAGGCTTGGAGATTACCAAGGAATCAAGAAATAAAACATGGAAGAGAAAAGGACATTCCACTAGTGCTGAAAGAGAGAGCCAATAAATTTCCGCTTGGTAAAGCCACTGGCTGAATTGTCCCATTTCTATTATAACAGCTCCAAGAAGCCACAGCAGATAACCACCACCACCAAGAAACCAGGATACCTAGGCTGCTGAGCCGTACTATTTGTTCATGGATGATGATATTTATTTATTTAAAAAACCCAAACAACAATTAGAATTTTAACAAAGTTCTGGGTAGAGATGTTAGTTTTTTTAAAGGAAATCGGTCTTTTGGGGAAGGGAAGGTGCTATTTGGTAGAAAAACAATTCGTTAACTAAACAGTGTCCCAATTCTTTATACTTGTGAAATAACTTTTACATGGCATTCACAAAGTGTCGTTTATTCTATTCTATCACTTTGATTTAAAAATTTTCCTAAATCATTATTTTAGTATTAATCAGCTTGTTTATGGCCAAGAAATCAACAAATCATTTAAAAATTGTTGTTCAATATGCTATCAGCAGAGACTCGTGTCAGAACCCTAAGAGAGGAGAACAGGAAATAACCTGCCAGAGAATGCAGGTGCATTACTCAGCAAAGCAAAGGTTATCTTCATTTTTCAAAAGCATACAAAATTAAGACTGCTAAATAGGATGCTGTTATAGTAGGTATATGTTGTTGTTATTAAGTGCCATCAAATAGGTCTGACCCCTAGCAACCCTGCATAGACTTTCCAAGGAGCGGCTGGTGAGCTTAAACTGCCAACCTTGAGGTTCAAACCAACTTTGCAGTCTAACACATTAACCCACATTGCCACACCAGGACTCCATAGTACATCTACAGAGTAATAAAAATTCTTAAACAAAACAGCGTTTTTGGGAATTTTTAAGTATCTTATGACTACTAATTGAGATATACTTCCAAATGAAAAAAAAAACAAAAAACCCAGCAACCTTGTTCTGCATAATTTAAAAAACTTCAGGGTAATACATATGTAAAGATAAACTGTATTTATAAAATTTCTTAAGCATAGTTACTATTTTGGTTTTGTTTATCGTAAGAACTGGAGAAAGGAAAAGCCCAGTATCTGTTGAGTGTTAGCTCAGACAACAATTTCCCTTTCCCAATACACAATCATTTACTTACTAAGATATGGAAGCAGGGTCTGCAGAGTTCTGAGATGGCCCCAAGATGCCCATCCCTGGTGTATGTACCCTGTATAACCTCATCAAAGTACAGGTGGTCTGTGACTATGAAGGCGTTTACTACATGACAGAGGTAAGGGATTATATAGACAGAGTTAAGGTCTGAATTAGTTGATTAAGAGTTGATGGTAGGGGGACAGTTCTGGGTGACCCATAAAAAGAATGGGGTCTTATGTCGGAGTGTTTAAAAAAAAAGAAAAAAAAGCGCTTAAATGAATAGAGAGAAATACTGTTAACTGATGGTACATGGCAGGGATTATAACCATTGTAATGAAACAAAGTGTATGATTTGTTGAATGTAGAACTGATGATCTGCCCTGTATACTTTCTCTCAATTCACAATAAAACTTTAAAAAATAACAAAAAAAACCCCAAAAGAATGGGGCCTTCCTGAGAAGACAGTCTCCTGTTGGCCTTGGAGAATCAGAAAGCCATGCTGTGAAGTGCCTATGGAGACAACCATGTGAGTGTGAAAGGCAGGGACCTGAGGATGGCCCCTGGAATTGAGAGCAGTCCTTTGCTCACAGCTGGTAACAGCGAGAGAGGAACCAGGGGCTAGTGTCCTACATCCCATCTGTGGGAGTCAGGAAAAGAACTCAAAGCTAAGTGAGACCCGAGCCCTGGGCCTTGCCTTCTTCTCGCCTTGTGAGCCATCAGCTGAGAACCTCGCCCTGCTGGGTCCACTGAAGTCTGAGATGATAAGGGAATGCTGTTTGAAGCTGCTACATTTGGAGCAATCTGACACCCAGCAGTAAAAAACAGGCAGCTTTCTAACCTGGGACAGATCATTAAAGGGCTCCCCCAGTACGTAGTGGTATACTTTTAGGAAAGAGTGTTCATGCTTTACATTAGACTCTGAGTGGGATGAATTGAATAAGCATAACTAACTTATGTTTCACAATTAGCGAGATGACAGCTAAGAGAAGAAGTAAGACTGACAGGAAATATTAACTGTTAGAAAACCATCCTGGATCCCTATGTATTGAAGAGGTGGTAAAAAATGGAAAATGGAGCCAGCCCACTGTATGTTAGGTATTATATGTCTGTCAATTATTTCATCATCTACCAGCCATGTGAGGATGGTATTAATACTCCCATTGCATTGAGAAATTCCAGGTCTAAGCTAGTATTTCTCAAGCACCTACTATATTACAGGTATCAGGGTCACATTGCTAAACAAGGCACTAAAGGAACTTTCATTCTACATGGAGAGTCAGACATTAAGCATATCAGCAAAAGAATAGATAGAGTGCCATAAAGAAAACAGATTCAGAAGAGGCCATGGAACGATGGATATCATTGCTGAAGTCCGATGGATCTTGGCTGAAAGCAGAGAATATCAGAAAGATGTTTACCAGTGCTTTATTGACTATGCAAAAACTTTCAATTGTGTGGATCATGACAAGCTATGGACAACATTGTGAAGTATGAGTATT